GGGGGAGGGGGGGTCGTCACTTTATCGGCGCGGGGTATTACAAAGGCGATGGGCGCCGTTCAGCTGCTGGAATTTTATCGGCGGCGCGCCGCGGGAGGATGGGGGTCCGCGTCCAACGGCCACGTCGGTCCGCGTGACGTCACACGGCTCGCCCGCGTCTCGTTCGCGTTGTCTTTCCCTCAGCGCGGTCTCTCTCTCTCGCTCCCGTTCCTTTGTCTCTCCCTCGTTCGCGCGCGTCTTTTCGTTGGCGTTCTCTTTTCCTCGCGCGGATTTAACTTAATAATAATTATTATTTAAAATATTATTATTATTATACTTAATAATAGTGAAGAAAGCGGAAAAATAAATGATATATAGAATTAAGCATAAAAAATATTTATTCATAAAACTTTAAAAAATTTTTTAAAAATTACCACACCTCTTCCTTTTCAACGTCAAACTCATTTTGCATATCGAATAATCTTCGTAATTGGAAGATATCTTCATCTCCTAAAACGTCCCAGATTTCCTCGTTATATTCGGAATCCACTCTTCTAAACCAGCGTACCAAACGCTGACGATGAATATTGATGAATCCCCGAATTCGGATTTCATCGAAATATATAAAATCCTGGAAAAGAATTTAAAAAAATTTTAAAAAAGTTTAAAAAATTTAAAAAAAATTAAAATCTGTGAAAAAAATATTAAACACACCTGTCTGTGAGGGATCCGAACCCTCACCATATTATAAAGGCGGACCTCGCGCACCGGCACGTTGTCGACCCATATCCACTGTAACGCGTTAACAGAGAATGGTTAATTTTTTAAAAAATATATAATATACAATTATGTATTGTTGCGTGCATGCCGCCCGGTATGCTTTTTCAAAAAATGTTACGACAGTGAGTCCGTGACTCTCTCAGACACTTATTCACACTCGCGCACTCACGAAAATAACGACGATTTAAACGATCGTCGTGACGAACTGCACGCTTCAGCTTGGAGTTCGAAAAGCATACCGGGCGACACGCACGCAACGGTATTAAGTATACATACTCCTACTGCGGGGTACACAATGTCTATGCATTGTTCGATTACGTGATATCTTCGTTCCATTTCATCTCGTTCCTCTTCTTCTCGGTCCATTTCGTATTCTTACACAGTGCGAGTCTACTTGCGCTTGCGAACGTTTTCACACTACTGACTT